TACCAAACCATGGAAGGGCTACGAACCAAGCTAAGATCGTACCTCATTGTCGAGTGGTGCGGCCGATGTCGTAGCAAAGAGTTGGTGCACAGCACTTGGGGCTGTCGGCGACCGCGGAGCCTCGGTCTTCCGCGGGCCGTGTTTCGGGCGACTGCGCAAGAGGCTACTGCAGAGCTCGACGACTTTCATGTACGCTAGCACTTGATAAGGCCACCGCGCACGGAATCTTCTCTCATATGTGCAAATCCGCAGCATAAAAGGATATGAATAACTTGGTCTCGCGCGAGAGAAGTACGGACGCACGTGCATCAATCGTGAGCCCTTCGTCCTCGATACTAGGCGAGCTGCGTGGAACTCCTGCATATATTTGACAAACGAGGTAGGCGCACCCGCGTTCGAGGTCCGTCGCGCGCTTCGTCCGGAGTACATCGTCGGCAATTTTGCAGCACAAGTCGCTTTTCGCCAGCGTAAACTAGACACAGACGATCGTTCATGTGAGGATCTGTCGAGCGATCAATCACCTTGAGCATCGACTGAAATGCCGTGTCTGCATCTCCGGCCTTCTCGACCGTTGATGGCTCGTCCAAGATGAGCTTGAGCTGCGCCTGGGCGGACTTGAGTGACCTATGGATCCCTGTAGCTACGCCGTACCGCGTCCTTGTCGAGCTCCAAGTCGATGCTCGTGGTGTTGCTGGCGTCGAGAATCTGCGAGCGCAAGGTCGAGAGCCGAAAATCATACAGGCTGCGGATGTCGGACCGCATCAAGTGGAACGGGTCGACGTCGCTCTACGCCAGCATCTGCATGTGAGCACTAGCGCAGCTGCCTCAAGGCGAGTACGAAGCGAACTACGTCGAGCGGCGTCGGCGTTGCCGCGATCGAGTGCATGGCCTTGCTCGTCCGCAGCGACTTGCAAACATTGAGCTGGGCGGCAATCTGGCCTGCGAGCGTGTTGACGTCCTCTCGCCAGTCGTTGACGCGTCCATGCAGCTTCTGCGCGTCTTCCTTGGTTCGTATGGTCGTCCGCGCGAACTCGGTGCTCGCGGCCGCGAACCGCTGCTCCAGCGGCGCTTCGTCGGCCATGATCCGCACTCGCGGATTGGCTCGCTTTCTCGGCCATTTCATTGGATGAAAATACAGGCAACTTGATATTGGATTGGTGTGTCTTTTGGTCGTCGGTTGTCACATTCTCGGGCGAGGACGCTTTGATCGAGCCAAGCATCCCGTCGCGGATGCGCCAGGGGTAGTACGATGCGTCCTTCAAGCGCGTCTCGGCGACAACCGACGCAATGAGCTCGTCGAGAAGCCATGCCTTTTTCCGGTCGCTTGGCGAGTGTGTAGACGCCGAGGGCATCTTCAAACCGGTATTTCCCCTGGATTGGGCGACGCTTGCGATGAGTGGAAGAAAGGCGTCTCATTTGGTTGATTATCCCAACGAGCAATCTCCCGAAGCAGCTTTTGCCTTGATGCACCCAAATGTATTGCCGCCAATCCAAACCCCGTGTCAATTGGCTCAATCTTAACCAATCGAATGCCTTCCACGCACGTCAAGATCCCGCACTCCCAGCTAGAATCCGGATGCCAAAGGACAACAGCCAATGAGATGGCTGCAAGTGACAGAAAGATCGTTCGTTATCCGGATTTGAAGACCGAGGTTGGTCAGTTGCCAACATGGTCGCTGGAGCGTGCTCGACGAAGACGACGACGGGCGCCGAGCCAGCCCCCTGCGCTGACCCAGTGAAGCGCATCAACCAAGCGATCGAGGCTCTGGACTGGGACGACGTGCAGGTCGCCTTCGACGTGATCGATAAGGACGGCTTCCGGGTGTGCTCTGCGACCGAGGCCGCCTGGGACAGCTACGTCGAGTCCGAGGACCAAGCGATGAAGTCGAGCGCCTTTGAGTTTAGAGACGACTCGATTTATCTCATCGAGATAAGCGGTGGTCTTCATGCCACCATTGCCATGGGCATCGACGACGCGATGCTGGAGGCCACGGGGCCGGAGGCCACGGGAACGGACCATCGCGTCTTTAGGGCTTTCCGCGACGCGTACGTCAACACGACCCTTGAACCAGCGGCAAGCAAGCTGCCCAAGCTCTCGCCGGACTGCTGCTACGGTCCAGCTCGCGACATTGGCGCCATCAAACCTCCCCGCGTCCACTGGAACGAATTCCATACGTTCAAGGTTGAGGTCGGAGTCTTCCAAGGCTGGCGAAGCATGAACGCCAAGGTCGTCCAGTATCGCGTCTTTCCCGGTCTGCGCTACGTGCTCTGCGTCTTTGTCTCGCCCGACATGAGCGTCCGTGAGTACAAGCTTTTCTCGATCACCAACAACGAGCTTGAAGGCGAGGCCCCAGCCCGCGTCAACCCGATCCCGATCACGGCCGCTACCCGTATCGTGCTAGACGGTCGTCGACTCTTGGCGCTACCAGACGAATTGGCTCTTCCCGGGCGCTTTCCCGCCGAGGTGTCTCTCGATTTGCACCCGATCTTGGAAGACGCCTTGCTCTACGACGAGGATTGACCTCGTCTCGGCTTGAACTGGACTCTGCGCTCATGGCACCGCTACAATATACGTGTTATCGTAATCAAGATGGCATCCATTTCGCCTTGCACGTCCGTTTTACTCGGACGCTACCACTACCTTCAGGTGCCACGTTGCCAGCAAAACTATCAAGTCGATAATGGTATTGGCGCTCGCGACGGAAGACACATTCCCGACCTACTCGTGCTTTGTGTTTATACAAGCGCCTTGTAGTGTCGTCCATATTATCAAGTTGATACTATTACGCGTGGACGCTGTGCTCGTCGACGCGGCAGTACCGGCACGGCAGTGGGGGTTTTCCGCACCAGGCCATAAAAGCGATAACCGGATAAACCTCTGAAAATGAATACGACCAGCCAAGAACGTCATTCGAGTGATGGCACCCAAGCGGAGCACCAACCCGGCGGGCCGACCGTCGGTCAAGCATGCGAAGAAGAAGACGAAGGGCGCAGTGGTGCGCGCCGCATCGCACACGTACGAAGAGAAGTTTAACGTCATCGCCTTCCTCGACAAGAGCGGCTCGATGAACAAAACGCTCGACAAATTCTTTCCCGATCCGGCGCCGAAAGCGCGCGAAGCTGCTCGAAAGAAGATTTCATCGTGGGCCAACCGGCAGCGTCCGCAGATCACGCTCTTCGCAGGCCATTCCAGGTACCGGGGGCAGCGCAACTACAGGCCCGAGGGGGTCGGTAAGGTCCTTTCGGCCGAGGCCGAGGACCAGATCAAGATGTGGGTCCGGGACGTGCGCGGCAGCGGCGTCCCCGTGTCGCGCTGTATGGTCCACGCCAAAGCCATCGACGTCGCGTGCGACCATGGCATCACGGTCGGCTTTAGTGCATCGGCCTCGTGGCTCGAACGCTTCCTCCATGAGCACGACCTCCTTGTCACGACGCGCCGCATCCAGGAGTTTGAGGCCACCCTTCAAGCCGACATCGACGCCCTCTGCCTCAAACACAATATATATGAACGTGTTTCGCGTTATCTTCGTTGTTACAAAGAGTTCGCATACGTAGAGACTAGCAATCTCCTTCTTCTTCATTCGCTCGCCGGGCCGTGGCTGCGCAGGCGGCGGCGCGGGGGCGCATCTTGTTCTTCTGTAGTCGCGCGGCGGCGTTTGTGGCCGCGGGTGAGGCCCATGATGACGAGCTCCGTGGATTCCTTCC